AATATACACAAACAAGGAAAAACGCTTAAAAAGAATTGCTCAAAACTTCTGAGCACTCGACTGGCGTACGTCTGTATATGTGTGTCACACACATCGGCAGAAGAAAAATAAAAAAAAATAAATAGGGAATGGGAATGGTTTTCCGCCTGGCTGTCACTCTATATAAATAATGCACCTCTATTTATATACATTTTTATTTACTTGCCTGCCCCTGGAGGGAATGGGTATGCATTTTATTTCCATTTAATTTGCGGTCTGCAGCGCTCTGCAACTAAATGTTTTTGACTTCGGACATATCCTTCGGATACTCGAAAGTCGAAAGAAAGAGATGAAAGAACATATAGAACTAGGCCGACGACAATCTCGGAGGAATTCACAGCACACAGCGCTCAGCTCACACAAAACGTATTCACACAGAAATCTATATAAATGCTTAATATCAGATGCAAATATTCAGCTGGCAAATTCCACCGGGACATTGACTATTCAAATCGATTGGGTTTTTTCGTTTACTTTTGGAACAAATAATCGCATAATTTTCGACTCTGCGAGTGGGGGAAATATAAGAAAGCCAAAGCCATTTTCTGTGGTCATAAATGTCTGGAGAATTGCAAATGCTTAGGTTCTACAACACAAAAGGAGGCCAAAAGCTGGCAAAGCTGGGTTATCGGATGATTTATCCTGTTTACCTATGAGCTCGGAGGGTATGCAGGATATGCACCAATTTATCGACTTAATTATTCAATACTCGAATTTATTGAGCTTCAAACACACAAGCAAAATAACGTTTACCATTTTTGCAAATATTTATTTTAATTCTTGGCTGAAAAGAGCATAACAAGTGCAAATAACCTTATTATCGTATTTAATTTGCCAGTCAAATAAATTTCAAATCATGTATTTTTTAAAGTCTAAGTAACAATCAGGTAAGTTTAGCCCTTTACTTTCCCATTTCACTTTATTTTTCCACGCCATTTGTTGTGCAAGCCCCAATTTCGATTGAAAATGCGGGAGTCTGTGTGTTTGGACATCATCGCTTAGTGTTGGGCAATGTCAACACCTCCTGTACTTTTTACCCTTTTGCAACCCTGTGTGTGTGCGACTTATTTGCTGAGTGACACACAAATTCGTTTCGGCGACAAACGCCTCGACTTTGACTGGCCCAAAGTTATTGGGTTTGTGGGTGGGTCGTGTTCATATATATAGGGCGGGGTTCGGAGTTCGGAGTTCGGTTCCCAAGGATGTTTGAGTTGTTAAGCTGCTTTGGGGTCTGCTGCCGGGTCCTCGAAACCCCCACATGTGCGGGAAGTGGTCAAGAGCGTTGTCCATTCAGTGTTCACTTTGTTGTCCTCCTTTCATCCGGTCCTTTCGCACTTCCTTCGTGCTCATCCTGTCATGTTTTCCGTGTATATTTCTCTGCCATTTTTATGCGATACTAAATTTTATGTGGGTGTTTGTGGGTGATTGTGTGTGTGTGTTGCGGAAAAACGAATCTGCAATGTGCAGCGTCATTTGATGGTCGAATATATTTTCCTTTCTATTTTTTTTCGTGGCCAGCGCAAGGAAATGTGATAGCGGGATTTTGTCGAACATTGCTAGCGATCTTGAGTGTCCTGGCAGGTTAAAGTTATGCTATTTGAGTCTTAAAATCGATTCTGGGGCAAAAGGTAGTGAAAGCTATTTTAGGGCTCAGTTGTGGTATTTTAAAATGAAATCAAATGGTTCTTAAAGTCGCTTTTATAAAGTGTTTTGACTAAAATATTTAGTTAACCATTATAAATCAAGTTATATTTATTAAGAACACTATTAGTTTACTGATTTGAAAGACTTTACTCTTCCAACATTATTTTTTTTCTAAACTACTTGAAATCATGTTGATGACTGTAATGGCCCCTGATCCTTTTTTTTACGTATTTCTATTTAGATTCTTAGTCGTTTGTTTCGTTTTTTGCCCCTTAAATTATTTCATTCACATGCGAAGGTTTTTCTTGCCTCTCGCTCACTCCGCTCCTGCCCTCTCCCTCACTCACTCGCACACATCATAAATATGCTCGCCCAAAAGTGCCGTTTTGTCACTCAGCCTCTTGCCATCTCGCTTTCTCCCCGCCTCCACCTCCATCTCCGTCTCGCTCTAACTTGCTGTGGCTGTTGGTGTTATTGTTGTTGTTGTTGGCCTTGCATAGAAATTACTTTTACTGGGGAAATGGGGAAATGGGATTTTCGTTGTTATTCTTGTTGCAACACTGCGGCGATTATGCGACGCCAAGGCAATTTTTGGGCAGAAAGAGAGAGGGGAAATTACGAAAGAAAGAGAAGGGTAATATGGGTAAGGCCTTCAGTCTTATGCGGTGTTTTCTACGTAAATTAAGCAAAGCTATTAAGTGAAGGAAAACAAAAATGGGTAATCGCAACAGATGTTTAAGTCTCCCTTTATAAATTAAACTTTAATTACTTACAAATATTTGAATAATATTTCTCCCATAAAATTTGATACAAAATAGTTGTATTTTAATAATTATGAAAGAATTTCGGAATTTTCTTGTGTTTGCGTGGATTTTTCAATTTTCCTTTCCGTTGCATTTAATGTGATTATTTTATATTATTTTTTCCATATTTGTGTTTGCAATTTGCAATTTCCCCCGCACAAAAGTTGCGAATGCAGCACACGTTGCGTATGCGTGATGTCAGCAATGATTAATTAATGAAACAAACAAACAAGCGAGTGCGTGAGCGAGATGGCTGCACAGATAATGAGCGAGACAGCTGCGGAGCATAATCATTAAGAGCAAAACGATTAATTGCTCAAAAAATTACGACAAAAAGGCATTAAAATTTGATTTTAATTTCGTATTCACGCATCGCTTAGTTGTTAATCCATTAGGTACAGCAAAATCCAGCGGGGAATAAAGGCACATATATTTCTTGGGTAATCGAAACTAATTAGTGGACATCGGGGAAAATTACAGATTTTCCTAACATTTTTTCCCATTTTTTTGTTTGCCGTTTTTGTGTGCCCTAATGGCTGGCCACAAATTGAATAATTGCATGAGTTACACACACAGCGAGCAAAAAAAAATGGGAAAATCAACCAAAAGCTTGTTAAATTTCCCACGCTTCTTGAAAGAAGCAAAAAACCAGCATAAGAAAAACGGCGACAGATGAAAAAAGAAAACTTTCGAGGAGGAGACTGCACACACTCAAACAAAATCATGATAATTGAATCAAATTGCATGTCAACAGTGGATTAGCAAGGCGAGAGAGTGGAGGGAAAAGTTATATAAAAATTGCATTGAAATGATTATTTGAGAAAGTAGCAGAGAAATTGCCACAGAAGCCGCAACTTGTCCTTGTTCCCACGCACAAAACCTCCTTATATGGTACCTATATATCTACAAAATATATAAAACAGACTCATTTGAGGCTGGAAAAATCAACAACAGACAAATGAAGAGACGAAGAATTAAACCGTGGCCAGAGAAAGGCGCGGAGAAAGGAGGAAAGGGTCCTCGGCAATATGGGTTAAAGTGCTCTCCTCTCCCTGCAAAAAATGGCTGATAGAGTGGGTTAACCCACGTCCTGATGAGGCACACTTTGGTTACTTTCCCATTTCCCATTTCCCTCCGCCTTTCTCTCTCTTTAAAACAATGAACTGCAAATTGTGCGCAAATTACATAAAAAAGTAAACAAAAAAGAAAATATGGCCAGAGTGGGGCAGCACAAAAATATAAAGAATAAATAAACAAGTAAACAAAAGGGCAACCAAGTAAAGCCAAATGAAAAATGCGGCAGGGCAGCAGAAGTTCAGTGAAAGAGCTGCTCGGAATGAGTCAGCGAAAAGAAGTACATTTCGCATAATGCACCACATGGCGTATGCTTGATGTGTGGAAGCATAGCCCAGAATAAGCACGAAATTAATGGAAGAAGAGAGCTCAACAGAAAGCAGGGAAACAATTTTCCAAAAGTCAAGTGCTATAAAGAAAATCCATAATTAATTATCGAGCCGATGAAACTGAAAGAGAATGGCATTTAAGGGAAAGCAAATTGTTGTGCATTGTTGTAGGAAAATGCAAAATATAAATCTTTTATACTTCTTTATTGAAAAATTCAAAATAATAGAATAGAATAATGTTTGGATTCTACGTTTAAATAAGTTCAATCGATGTTATTTAGTTTTAATTATATTATTCTTTATTTAGCACAGCACAACGAACCACAGATTTAGAGATCACGAAAGTAAGAGATGGTATTATCCGCGTGGCTTACACTTTAGTGTTACCAGATATCGATAATGTTATAATGCTGTTTTTGATATAGTCTAAATTATAATGGGGATATTCTAGTGCATATTCAACAAATAACAATCTAGATTAATCCAAAAATAGAAAGAAAATCCATAATTAAATTACCGAATTCAATCAAATGAGAAATCCAAGCTAATTAAACTAATGCAAAATGTAAAATGTTGTGAAAACAGAATACCAATCTAGATAAATCCAAAAATAACACAAGCTAACCGCCATTGCACACAAAATAAAATAACTTCAAGTCATATTTCCCTTTATTAAAGACAGGAAAATAAATCTGCTAAGAGAAAGCACTTAGCACCCTTTAAAATTTAATCGATTTGAGTTGTGCAGCTCAAACAGCCACTTGCCACACAGAGAACCGCTTCTTGAGACATTAGGCAAATATTGAAACATAAATTTCAATTTGTGTTATTTCCCCTTTCTATTTTTCAGCGATGTTTGTTTATTACTTGGGCATATCAATTTTGCCGGTGAAAGATTAAATAAACACAAATGTGAGCCAGAACAGAAACAGAAGCCTGGCCGGGGGAAAGCACTTCTCCAGCCCTCGGAAAAAGTGCATTGGCATATTAAGCGTCTGTCTGCAGGGCATAAACTCCAACTCAAACACAAACAGAAAACAGAAAACAGCAAAACTAAAAACTGAAAACTGAAAACCGAAACAGAAACAGGCAAACGTGTGCACATTTTATTTTATTTTATTTCATTTTTTACGTTTTTCATGTCTGAAAGTTTTCTTTCAATGTTTCTGTGTGTGGCAACAACGGCAAGAGGCAAAAGTTTCAATTTCTGCAATTGTTGAATTTTTGCACGCACAAGAAATAAAGATGAACGAACACACCCATGCGGGGTTACCTCTCGGCACATGCAACGATAATGTGAATGACCAGGGACCAGGGACCAGGGACCAGAGACTCGAAGCTCTCGAAGCTCTCGGAGACCAAAGACCGAAGACCGAAGACTGGAGACCCAAGAGCTGCCTTATTGACAATCGGACTGGAGACGAAAGCGCCAAGTTGCAGAAAACTCCAGGGTCCCAGCATAGTGGGTTCAAATCTTTAAGATTCAGGGGTATTTTCTAGAAAATATTCCCAAAATTAGAAGATATTTCGAACTATTTCTATTATTAAATCATGAATATAAACGGTACTCAAATGCATATAATTCATAATGATTAAAATGTGCTATGAAATAAAAAAAAAATTTTTTTTTTTTCAAAACTTAAGAATATGTTTCTTTCTTTTCAAACTAATAGAAGAAATTATCCTTTGCCACTGTGGGAGCTTAAATTGCAATAAACTTATAAACTTATTTGTCTTGCAAAAAGGTGGAAAAAATTGTGGCAATAATGGAATTTTTTTATATATAAAAGTGTGTAAACAAGCCCAGACAGTCATCTGTCAATAAATTGAGACCGGTTCCAATGGACCTTGAACCACTGTGCCCGGTGGGTCGGTCATAACCGGGCTCAATGCGAGCCAGTTGCATTTTCCATTGGCCATTGGTCGTTGGTCGTTGGCTCGAGTACGTGCTGAAAATGAGCAAAAGTCTCGATGCGAGTGCCTAATTAAATCAGCATCACACCACCTCTATCGACTCTATATGAGGTCGATCAATCGAGCGATCCAAATCGAACATCCGATCGTTCCAAATTCAATTACATTTCAATAAGCCAAAGTGTCAAATGCTGAATTTTGTTCCAAAAACGAGATTCAATTGACTGAGGATCGTAATAAGAAGTGCAGAAATATAATAATATGCAAGAGGTCGGTGGAAGAGTTCACATTTGGTTTCATAAAAAAACAACAGGGCGTATACTTGATTTGATGGCCAAAAAAATAAATTGCCATTTGATCCATAGCTTTCATATATATTCGAATTATTAAAATTAAATATAACTAAGTAATTTTTAATGCGTGTAAGAAAAAAAAACTATTCACAATTTCATAAATGAACATGAATAATATACACTACATTTTTATTAAAGTCTTGCATATTTTCTCAGTTTTCCTGTTGATTTTTCCTATTTTCCGTGACACAGTTTCCCCCGAATTCATTATCACTTTTCCAACTGGTTCGCAGTGAACACACCTCTCTATCCGTTCATCTCTCGCATTTTCCCCATTTTCCCCATTTTCCCCCTTTCTTTCTGCGTATCAATTATGAGTCTTTGACTTGGTTTAGCTTTAAAAAGCCAAGCAAAAAAAAAAAACCATAATAACCCAACAATATCCGCTGTTTGGTTGGGGAAAACAAGTTTTTCTTGACTTTGACTGTGACTCCTTGGGCTGGTTTTTCGGTTTTGGCTTTGGCTTTTCTTTTAAGGCGATTCGGTTATTAAGTTGGCGAACGGGAAAACCGGGCCGCCCCTTCCTGTTAAATTTGCATAACCTGCTGTTGCCGGTGGGGTCCTCTGTTTCTATTTCTATTTGCTTAACCCCTCGAAGAAATGGACAAATCAATTTGCTTGACAACCACACACAGCACAAGCACACACAGCACACACAGCACCCACGCTGGAAATCGAATTGAGTGTTGATTTATTGGCCATGATCTGATTTTGAACAAACAAGAAAACCCATTTAGCGACGTGTCCAGGAATAAATAAACATACGAGTTGAGTTCAAACAAAAAGCATGGGTCGAGAGCGAGACGGAATGACCGGCGAGCGAGCGAGAGGGAGGCATGTCAAATGGCGCACATAAATCTAATTGAATTAGCGTACGAAAATCAAATCAAAAAGCAAGAGCACCCCAAAATTGACACTTTAAATCGAAAGACCGACAACAAAAAGAGCGGGCAAGTGTGAAAAGCATGGAGTTCAGTGACCGCCGATCGTTGACTCCTTTCGGTAATACATACATATCTTAATATATATGCACATCCATATGCAATATTGGTCAAATTATTTGGCCAAGACTTTGATAAATTCGAATTGAGTCGACAGAGATGAATGATTTTGCAGAGGAAGGGTGCCTAAAATGGGTCACCGCATTTGTAGAAGCTTGAATACGACATGATTTTTTTAAGTATAACATATGTAATGTACTTCCGATACAGAGAGACAAAATGTGGGGACTTACAAGATATTTTCAAAAATAACCAATAAATACAAAACAGTTTTACTAATCCTAATGAGTGTTTTAAAAAGTACCCAAATAAACTGTACTAAGATTAAATCATTTTAAAAAAATACTAAACAACATTACTAATCCCAAAAATCACATTCTTCCCAAAAAAGTACCCAAGATCTCTCAGGGCCAATTATTTGTAAAACCAAAAGTTATCACTTTAGAGCACTAAAATTTAGGAATAGCAACTAGCAATTAAAGCGACTTTGTAGTGAACATGACTTTGAATTTCGTTGTAAGGCAACTCAATTTAAAGTCAATTAAACTGTTCAATTGTTCATAAAACATTTGACTGCACAAACAGTGGGCCACAAAAGTCACTCGAGCGGATAAAAACGCAGTGTAAGAATGGCAAGAGGTGGCAATTCGCAACACCGCAACTCGTTCTTTCGGGGCCCCTGAATTATTTAGCAATTTACCGGATGGAAACCCGAAGAACCAGTGTTGCAGAGCACCGAAAAAAGCAAATACCCCCTCCCCTGCCGAGATGTCACATTAACACTGCTTAGCAAGCAGTCGAACACGTGTCTGACAAGAGAATCTTCTTCAACTATCCATCAAAAAGTGCCCCAACCACCCGAAAAAAGCCCCATATATGGGATATGGGTATATATATATATCATTCCATTCTCTTCGCATCAGTCATGGCTCGTCCCGTCTCTTTCCCCTGGCAACCTGCTGTCTCTTTCCCACTCGCTGCGTAGACAAATGCTAATAGCATGGCAAATTTAATTTTCACACTCACTTTGTGCGTGTGTACTTGGATTTGTGTGTGAGTGTGTGTGTGGAGTGATTTTGGGCATGCTTCTTCTTCGCTCTGCGGCTTTAATTGAATTTGCCGCGTTTTTTGTTTTGCTCTTTTATTAGTTACAATTTTCGCGCTCAATTATGCGAACGTTAATTCCATTTTTCAAAGCTACAGCAAGCATTCGGTTTAAAGAGCAAAGAAAATATAGGTAGTCCTAGTATGAATAAAAAAAAAGTATTTTGAAATATCGCTGCCCAAAAAAAAAAAGAACTGTAATTATAATCTTAATAACTTGGGTAATTGGATCCCGACTTAGATGTGGGATACCTCTACGAGCTTGTGGTTAAATTCTCATTTATTGTACATTACAATTTACCTTTTTAAAGAGGGGTTACCCCTTTTTCATGTTCGATTTTTCCGTATTTCCAATGGTTTCCGGAATAGGAAGCCAAAACGGAACTTCTAAGTTCCATAACTTGGGTAATTGAATCTTGATTTTGAAGGTTGATACCTCTATGAGTTTGTTGTTGAATTCTCAAATGTTCTGCATTACAATTTTTATTTTAAAGGAGGGTTGAAATTTTTACCCCTTTCCATGTTCGATTTTTCCGTATTTCCAATGGTTTTCGGAATAGGAACCCAAAAGTCAATTTCTAAATTTCATAACTTGGGTAATTTGATCCCGATTTGCAAGTGGGATACCTCTACGAATTCGTGGTTTAATTCTCTAATATTCTGCATTAAAATTTACCTTTTTAGAGAGGGTCAAAATTTTAACCCATTTTCATGTTTGATTTTTCCGTATTTCCAATGGTTTTCGGAATAGGAACCCAAAACTCAACTTCTAAATGCCATAACTTGGGTAATTGAATCCCGATTTTGGAGATTGATACCTCTATGAGTTTGTTATTGATATCTCTAATGGTCTACACTTAAGCTAATCTTTTAAAAGAGGGTCAAAATTGTACCCCCTTTTCATGTTCGATTTTTCCGTATTTCCAATGGTTTTCGGAATAGGAACCCAAAACTCAACTTCTAAATTCCATAACTTGGGTAACTTGATCCCGATTTTGGAGATTGATACCTCTATAAATTTGTGGTTGAATTCTCTAATGATCTACACTAAAATGTACCTTTTTAAAGAGGGTCAACATTTTAACCCATTTTCATGTTCGGATTTTCCGTACTTCCAATGGTTTCCGGAATAGGAACCCAAAACTGAACTTCTAAATTCCATAACTTGGGTAATTGGACCCTGATTTTGAAGATTGATACCTCTATGAGTTTGTGGTTAAATTCTCTAATGGTCTACACTAGAACTTATCTTTTATAAGAGGGTCAAAGTTTTAGCCCATTTTCATGTTCGAATTTTCCGTATTTCCAATGGTTTTCGGAATAGGAACCCAAAACTCAACTTCTAAATTCCATAACTTGGGTAATTTTATCCCGATTTTTAAGTGGGATACCTCTACGAATTCGTGGTTTAATTCTCTAATATTCTGCATTAAAATTTACCTTTTTAGAGAGGTTCAAAATTTTAACCCATTTTCATGTTCGATTTTTTCGAATATCCAATGGTATTCAGAAAAGGAACCCAAAACTGAACTTCTAAATTCCATAACTTGGGTAATTTGATCCCGATTTTGGAGATTGATACCTCTATGAATTTGTGGTTGAATTCTCTAATGATATACATTAAAATGTACCTTTTTAGAGAGGGTCAAAATTTTTACCCATTTCCATGTTCGATTTTTCCGTATTTCTAATGGTTTTCGGAATAGGAACCCAAAAGTCAATTTCTAAATTTCATAACTTGGGTAATTTGATCCCGATTTTCAAGTGGGATACCTCTACGAATTCGTGGTTTAATTCTCTAATATTCTGCATTAAAATTTACCTTTTTAGAGAGGGCCAAAATTTTAACCCATTTCCATGTTCGATTTTTCCGTATTTCCAATGGTATTCAGAAAAGGAACCCAAAACTGAACTTCTAAATTCCATAACTTGGGTAAATGGATCCCGATTCTCATGTGGGATATCTCTACGAATTCGTGCTTTAATTCTCTAATGTTCTGCATTAAAATTTACCTTTTTAGAGAGGGTCAAAATTTTAACCCATGTCCATGTTTCATTTTTCCGTATTTCCCATGGCTTTCCGAATGGGAACCCAAAACTAATTCGATATATGGAATTCCGACT